GTGGGAGCGCAGTGAGAGATGGAGGATCCCACAGCTGCTTAATCATCCTTTTCTCTCTCCTCCAATACCGTCCCATATCCCTTCTTTTCAAGACAAACAATGTAAACTTATTATGCAGATTGCCCAAGATCACGAATCTGTCCCAGAAATTGTTAAACTTTGTACCCAACTGCAGAAGCTCATTTTAAATGCTGATGGAAACTCAAAGCAATTGAGAATGTGTCTTGTTTTGAAACTTATGGGTTCGGGGAGCCATTCTCATTTTTGGCTTTGTTCATATGCTTGTTTGTATCAGTTAAATCTTATAGATTAAAAGGAACTGCGGATAGAGCCAATGGAATCTGTTTCCACGGATCAAAGAATCTTTCGGAACTTCAGAAAAGTTTGGAGTTGTTGAAAAATCTTTTGAGTTTTTGATCAATACTAAATCCCACTTATAAATCTTAATTTCTTTTGAGTTTCAACCTTAAAGCGTAGAATTACAAGTTCTATCTTAAAAATCTTTTGGAAAGTTGTTTGAATGTTGAAAAACCCTCTAATTGATCATCTTGATATCGAGATATATGCATATGAAAAAAAAAGTGTTTTCGAGTCTAAAAAATAGTGCATCTTACAACACATTATCCAGACCGTCCATTTTCAAGATTTTCGTATGTTTATAGGTTTACTTGATTTTAAACATTTTTTTAGTGTACAATTTTATAATTAGAAATGAAAATCGATTTTAACATCATCTTAATAATTTTTAACAACAAAATTACATGTTATGATAAAATTTGAAGGTGCGTATGAATTAAATTGTTTAAGGTTGCAACGTTATACAAACCACACCAAAAGATATGAGGTTTGCATGGCAAACCAAATGTCCATTTTGGTCTTGGGTGGCCCCTGCATGGAAATATTAAGAATTACTCGTGCACAACCTGTCCATGGCAAAGGCACAACAAATCATATTATATACAATGTTTCAGCTTTTCGCTTGTTAAACTCATACAAACGATTTTTCATATAAGAAAAATTCTATAATTACAAAATTGAAAAACTAGCATCACATTCATTAAATTTATACTAAAAAAGAAAATTAAGGTAATTGAGAGAAATTTAAGAATTCACTAAAAATAGCACTTTCGTATGAGGATTTAGGCTAAAAACATATACTTAGAAAATCTAAAAATTAAGTATCACATTATCTTTTAAAAATATCAATAGCAACAAGAAAATCAGTCCAACATAAGCCAAAAATATTCTACTCGTTCGAGACTCCCGGTAAAACCGCACCTAGGATAAATTTTAGGACCTCAAATTTTGGGGATATAACCTTTTTAACATATAGATTAAAGTCACTAAAAAAACTTTTCCTAATTGCGCCCTATAAACATATATATAAAAAAAAAGTCTCAAGATTGAATAGAAACCCTCCAATTTTTTGAGAACATTACAATGATTGGGACTTCCATGTGAAAAAGATAAATCGTCTCTTTGTAGACAATCCCGTAAATTTTATTTAAAATAAGCATATGACATTTTAAAATGGACCCCAATATTTCAAAATAATGAGAAAAAACATTTTGCGTGAGAGATAAGTATATTGTGCTCCTCTAAGAAAACTAAAAGAGAAAAAAATTTAAATATTTAAGGGGCAAGCTTTCTATGCTTCCCTTACAACATGAACTTATATACTTCTTCTTATCTAACCATCCATCCTGAATGGAGGGCTAAGATTGCGCCAATCACAACACTATTTTATTTTTAATTTTTTATAAAATATTTTGATACCAAATTTTGGGTGTCTAATCCTCTATTATTCTAGCACTTGTAAAAAAATATTCGCATTAAAATACAATGACCAAAATACCCTTGAAATTTTCAAGGGGTATTTTAGTCATTATATTTTATCGAAAAATTAAATTTTAATATTTTTTGTTGGTGCACTCCAATGAGAAGATGACACTACCAAATTTCATCTTCATACAATTTTTATAAAAAAAATTAAAAATAAAATACTCTGAGGCATCAGATCTAAAATCAAATGGTGAGTCTCACTTGATCAAAATTGGACGGCTGGATGGTGGGGGAAGCATAGATCTTCTACATTGTCGGGGAAGTATAGAACCTTTCCCAACTTTAAGAGGAGAGAAAACATTTTAAATACAAACTCGCCACTCTAAGAAAGAAAACAAGAGTATTTTTAGCTTGGGGAATTGTGTGGACTTCTTTTGATCTCAAATTCTGTAGATTGCTTCGTTTTTTAGAAATAAAAATATTAAAATGAATTATGAGTTCTTAAAGGCTTTAATCCAACAACTCATGAAATAGAAGGCCTTTGGTCAATGAGTTCAAGAAAAAGAATTTTCTGGGGCTTTCCCAAATTTTGTTTAATAGGCTTCTTTGTAGGGTCCAAAAGATTTTATGCGCCAAATTTGAGATTTATTATTCCATTTCTTCTTTTACATCTACTACATGGATTTTAGATAAAGAATAGAAAACTCTTCGTACAATTACAATCACTTTTGTCCGTCAAATTTCAAATCAGGTGCTTGTATGTCTTTGACTAGACTCAGAGTTCAAATAAAACTCTTTTGAACTTTATGTCACACCCTATGCTGTCTAATGGCTAGAAGTACCTTGTAATAAAGATAAACGATCTCATAGCATATAATTGCAAAATTTTATTGGTGTGGAAATAATAAAATGGAAATTAAAAAAGAATAAATTTTTTTATTTTCAAATTTAAGGACTAATCATATATTATGCATTTTACATTAAAAGTAAAAGGTCTCGTTGTATAACTTTCCATAAAAATAAAAATAAATATATAAAACAATATTAGGTTTTAAGAGCTCAAAACAATTTATGTTTTTTCAATATATTTGGTCATAAGGTGACTTAAAAATGACTTGAAAATTTCTCTGTCATAAAAATCCCTCTAACTACCATGTTGGACCAAATGTTCAATTTGATCCTGCGAGGCCAACTGTAGGCACACTATGATCTAAAGCCGAGCCATAGAAAGGCGATCCTCCTTGGGAAAGCGGTAGACCAAGAATTACACATTAAAAAAAATACATTCATGGTCTTTGCAATGCACAGGCACAAGATGATATTAAAAACAATTTAAACTGATGAAAATTATTTTTAATATATAATAAAATTTGTAATTGAAAAATTAAAAATAGTACCATATTACAAAGGTAAAAAAATTAAGGTAATTGAGAGAAATTTAAGAACTTAGCCTTAGTTAATAGGATAAAGATGGCATATTTCCTTAGCCTTATTTTTAATTGAAAAAATAGACAATAAAAATTTTAATAATTAAGAAAGTGTTATAATTGGTTTTAAAAATAAAGATTAAAAAGCTTAGAGTTTATTTTAGTGAGAAAACTTAAGAAACTTTTTTGAGTCCCAATAAACAAAATTTAAAGGATAAAGTTTCTATAGGGCGTAGGTTTTATAACAACAAAATAAAGCCTCACCTCAAATACTCATTTTAAAAGCACTTTTGGCATCGGAAATCTCCATGGTGAATCTAAATCAATTTTCATCACCGATAATAAAATTTGAAACTCAAGAAATGATACAAATCATGCGGATCTATAAATACTCAATTTTAGGGTGAAATGGTCGGTCTAGATAACTTCTTACAATATACATATTTTTGGAGTTGAAAATCATAAATTTTTTGACAACTAATACGTTCAAGTCGTGATGATCCATGTAAAGTTTTCCAATGCTTGAATTGTAATTTTTTGTGAATTATGAGGTGAGGCTTTATTTATTTTGATAGGGCTACAGCTCTATGAAACCATTTCCCATTTTTAAAACATAAAAAAAAACCAATATCGAGAACAGCAAGAAATAAGTCGCCCATTAGAAATCAACTTTCCGAAAGTAATTAGGACTTGTATAAATCTTGATTTAGCAATAGTTCAATCTTAAATTGGTTTTCCTATGTGCCCCTAATCCGTATCTTGATCTACTTCTTTTTCTCTCTCCTATAAAATGATACTCTCTCTCAAAAACGCTGTAATTTAGTCTATCTTATTATCTCTTTTAACATTACAAATCCCCCGCAGCTCTCGATCTGGCCAATAAAGAGAGAAGAAACTCTCTATCTCTCTATCAAAAGTGGAGACACCTCTTTCTCTCTCTCAAGAACAAGGAATTATCTCCCTCTCTCTTCAAACGCTAGTTTATGTTTATCTTGTCTTATCATGTAAATCAAACCAAAAAAGAAAGGAACCCCCTCTCTCTTATCTCATCAACTAAACCAAATTTATGTTTATGTTGTCCTTATCATGTAAATCAAATCAAGAAAGGAAGGAACCTCTCTCTCTTATCTCATCAACCAAACCAAATCTACCTATCAGGAAAGAAGAAAAGGAAACTCCTCCCTCTCTTTTGTCAATATATACACGCAGGTGCTCCCCCTCCTCTTATTATTTTCTTCCCTTTTCAAGTTTAAGACAATCTTTGTCTTTCTTTGTTTCTTCTATCTTATCAATCCCATCTCTCCTTATTTTTCTCTCTTCCTCTTTAACAACGCATTAGAAACCTCTCTCATTATTTCAACTTTATTTAATTCTCTCTCTCCTGTTTCAAAATCACGTTCCTCTCCCTTGTTCTCTCATCTCAAATTTATTCAATTCTCTCTCCGCAGTTTCAGCTTTAACTGTATCAACTTTATTCGTACTTTGGCTCTCATCTCTCTTTGTTTAGCTATTTCATCTCCCATCTCTAGTTGTTTCTATCTTTTTCTCCATTTCTATCTCCCATCTCTTGTTGTTTCTGTCTTGTTCATTGTAGTAGCCATGTCTTCCTCCTCTTTCTTAACTCTTCTGCCCAACCAAAACACACCGGCTTGGACCGATGTAAGACTAAAACTCACTCTCACCTGCTACCCACCCCACGAAAATACTCACCACCTACTTATAAAACTCATCATTAGACTAAGAGTTGAAATGAAGGAAAGAAGATGTTTCATGGTTTCTACTGCCCAAAACATGCCGACAACCTTAGAAGATGCCATCTCCCTTATGGACGAAGAACTCAAGCAAGTAGACCCGGTGGTACCTAGCCTAGGTAAGATCACAGCAGCCTACATGTTTGGTGCAGCCGAAGCGCTTCGTGCTAATCCCAATGGGCCACAAGAAAAATTGACTTTCACTAATTTATTGAGGGTGAATGATGAAGCGGGTGACTTGGAACTGGAGATTTTGGAGAACATTGTATCTGAAATTCGAAATAAGCTCGAGAATTCTCTTCGACCTCAGGCCTCTTTGGTGGACTCTTTTAAGCTAGTAGTAGCGGCGGACACAAAAGAAGATATATGTGTTATATGCATGTCCGGGTTGAGCAATGGGGCAAGTAATATAAGGGAAATGCCTTGTTTACATCAATATCATGAAGAATGCATATGCAAGTGGCTCGGGTGCAATCAGTCGTGTCCAATTTGCCGATATAGTTTGTGCTCAAAGTAATTTTCTGCATGAACAAGATGAAGATATCAATAATTTTATTTTTCTTCTTTTTTTTTTTTTTCTTTACCGGAGATGAAGATTCATAATTGCTCTAATAATATAAGATTGTCTCCTCTAGATTTTGCCATAATTTTTTCTTCCTTTATTTAGTCCAAATGGTCCTTTTCATGATTTAGGTGTCTAGATTTTTCTTTTCATGATTTGGATCAGAATATATGGATTCTTTTCTTTTTTTTCTCAATAACAATGGTGAGTTTGGGAACCAATTTCATCTACCTTGGATGCAAAATAGTGAATTTGGTGGCAATCTTGGATAAGTTTACTCTTGTGGTCCATTGGATTAAATTATTATAAGTGATATAGGTATGGAGCCTAAAATTTCTCCTAAAATATGAAATTTCTCCTAAAATATGATACACAGAAGGTAGGTCAACTTTTTTAAAAAAAAATTTTAAAAGTGCCCCTCTGAGGACATCCTTGGACCAAATTTTATTTTATTTTATTTTATAGTTTTTTTGACAGTCGGGCACTACCCTACTAACAAAAATATTGGAAAATTTTGTATTTTTTTGAAATTCTAATCAAGGATTCTATCCTCAGACCAAAGGGTAATTTTGAAAAAAAAAAAAATGCAAGTTGACCAACGTTCTTTGTAATTTTTGCGTATAAGTGAAGCATTTTGTATTTTAGAATAAATTTTATGGTCTGTGTGTAAATCACTAAATTATTATTCTCAGTTAGCAGAGAACATTTTGACAATCACATTCTTTTTGGAGAAATATTTATGGTGGAACCCTAGTAATATCAAATACAAGAATGCGTGATTAAGACAATGTTTTAAAAATCAGATCTGTGAATCGATTCGGCCTCACCCATACCCGTTTCGGATCGGAGAATCGGTGGATCGGATAAGAGAATCAGTGGATCGGATCAGAGAATCGGTGGAATCGACAATTTTTATCTCAAAGTTTTTCAAAAAATCACTATAAATATCTAAAAATAGTGTTCTTTTAGTTTCTAAACATAATTAGGAGTGGTGCATTATGTACTTTCATTACTTTGTAAAAATAGGTGAATATTGAGACGATATTTTCCTGTATAGATGTCAGTATAATTATTAACTATAATTTAATAATATAATATTACAACAAAATAATTTAAAAATCTTAAAAAATATTTCCATATTACAAGATTAAAAATAATATTATCATATATAAAGTGAAATTAGTTTCAGATCAAACACTTATTAATTCTTTTTACTCGTCCAAAATTATCACAATCTAACTAACAATAATATTATACATTTATTAATGCTTTTTATTCGTACAAAATTATCACAACTCAATAAAAATGGTGAATTTGGAAACCACTTTTATTTACGGACAAAAAATGGAAGCAAAACAGTGAATTTTGTGGCAATCGCATAATTGTTCTTAGTTATCAGAGAATGTCTTGACAATCATATTCTTCTTGGAAAAATATTTAGTGGAAGAAACCTAGTAATATCAAATAAAGAATGTGTGATTAAGAGCTGCTTAAAGTCATGGGGGAAAAGTTTTAGTGGTCCTGATGGGAGAAATTTGCACATTGGAACAAACAGCAAAACCACCATCTTAGATGTGGTCGGTTTCACTTCAAAGGTGATATCATTTTTATTCATCAGATTTTTTGTGTTTTAAAATGATACGGATTTTAGAAATTGTTTAAACGAGTTCTATATGTAATAGAAAAAACTAATAAAATAAAATTTTTCTTGCCTCAAAGCAATGGAAATTATTAAAGGCACTGCGGAAAGAGCCAATGCAATCTATTTCCACGGATCACGGAATCTATCGGAACTTTAGAAAAGTTTGGAGTTGTTGAAAAGTCTTGATGAATACTAAATCGGATTTACAAATCCTAATTTCTTTTTGAGTTTGGAGTACCCTTATCAAGTGTTTCCTTTTTCGGACAGAAACGGTTAGGTCGCCAGAGAGAGAAGGGGAACTTTCAATCTGATATTCAGATTGATTTGAAAATATGTTCATTACTTGCCCCCAAAAGAGAAAAAGAAGAAAAAAAACATATTTTCATTGTATTTTTGTATTTCAGTAATCCAAAGATTCCTAAATTCATTGCTATTTGAATGCATAATTTTTACTCTTCTACATATTAAATAAAAAAGTATTGTCAAATTCAAACAAAAATCTCACATTTCACATTAATAATCCAAACAAATATTTACTGACAAGAGGAAGAATGTACATTGTAACATTCAATAACCAAAAAAAAGGAAAATGAAGCCAGTAAGTTGTCAAAGAATAAAATCAATACTAACGATTGCTCAAAAATTGTAAGAACAGAACAAAACAATTAATTAAACAAATAAAGAATCTTAGAAAGAAGATGATAAAAAAAAAAAAAGGTTTAATCATCATCATCCTTGTCTTCTTGGACACTGTTTGCTTCTTTAACCAAATATCGGGCAAGAGAAATATGAGGCAAATCATTCCTAATACAGATATCCCGCAAAATCAACAAAAGAATGCTTTACAAGAGATGCCAAAAAGACAAACCTATTTCAGTGAGAGAGATGCAAAAAAACTAACCCTTATGTATTTCTTGGCAGCTGCGGGTCTCTTCTTGGGCTTGAGAGGCAGCTTTCCTCCCATAGCCAAAAGGTCATCTTCAATCTCCTTTTTGGAATGATGAATCTCAATTTTGGGCCAAAATCTATTGGTTTTCAGCCTTCTATCTTTATTGGCACTTCTGAGCCTTTGAGACCATTGCAAGCTTTCACGCTCTACATCTTCTCCTGCAATTTTAATAGGGTTTTTCAGGGATTTTATGATGTGGTTCAACCAACTTTTCAACCTGCTTTATATTGGGTACAATCTTCACTGTTCGAGGGCGTTTTCCTGTTACCCATTTCCATGGTAGATTAGAGTTTCCAGGGTTTTGCCCCATTTTATAGGGAAAGAAGAGAGGAAGAAAAAGGAAAATAAGGGTGGAGCTGAGAGCGAGAGTAAAGGATGAGAGTTGAAAGGGAGAGAGAGTAGAAAACCAAAAAAGAGGGAGGAAGATTTGAGCGAGAGAGGGAGCGTAGAGAGCTTAGAGGAAGAGTTAACAGAGAATTTTAAATAAGAGGTACCAATGAGGTGATTTATACTGTTTGGATACATTTATTAATAAAGAATTGAAAATAAATTACACAATAATTCTTTAATATTATGATATTTATTACACGCGAGAGGGCTGGGAAATTTTTTACATGCATGATGGGTAATCTACTAGTCGCTATCTAGAAAATCACTAGTAATCTACTGGTCGCTATCTAAAAAATCATTTTCCCTTTCTCATGAGTACATCCTCTTCTCCCTCTCAAGCTCCCCTTTCTCTCAACCAAGTTTACTGCTTACCTCACTCTCAAGCTCTTTTCCCTCTCAAGCTCCCCTTTTTTCTCTCAACCTGATAACCCTACCACGTCCCCTTCTCTCTTAAACTCCCCTCTCTCAAGTTCCTCTTTTCCGGATTGAAGGCTATTTGTAAATCATGGTATCAATTTCTCTTATCCCATCATTTTGCTAGAATCCACTCTCTTTCCTCTCCCTCGTTTTCTCAACTTTTCTCTTTCTTCATCAGTCTGCGTTCATGAAAACCAAATGTTTTATGTATGAGCTTCTGATACAGTCAGTCGTTTTTCCCTTTCAACCTCCCATCTCTGTCCCTCTCTACAAGGGAGCCGTGCACATAAATTATAATGATTACTAAATATTTTGAAAAAAAAGAACATGATTTTTTTATTAGGGTTTAGATCAAGATAAACAAGTGATAAATTATATTTTATTTAAATTATAATGATTAACTCTTTTTGGAAAATAATGTATTTTTTGGGATTAGAGTTTAGATACAGATAAAGAAATGATAAATTAATTGCAAATTCGCCTCATCAAATTTCTCAGTCTAATTTTTAAAATACTTTACCATTTTACATTAAATTTTTTTAAAGATACTTTACCATTTTAGAATAAATTTTTTTAAAATATATTACCATTTACTATTTAAACTACAAATTAATGTTATTGAAAGATTGTGACTAAAATAGTTCATTCAATGTTTATGACCCATATTAATTCACACTAATAAGTTATTATTCTTTGAGGCATGACAAGCATGGTATAGTCATGCTATTTATACATATACATTTCAATATTAAATAGGAATGTCTACAAAGAAACCATTTATTTTTTGTGAATGGAGGTCACAATCATTCTCAAATATTAGATGCCAAAGTGGATGGCTTGAGGTGAGTCATGAAGTGATTTGTTTTTTTGAAATTTTGTATTTATTCAATGAAACTCGTACAACCACCCATTTTGAAATTTAAAGGACAAGATTGTGTGTACAATAGATAAATATTCTCTTTGTATACAATTCCATATTAAATTGGTATGTCTAATAAGAGCAATGGAATAACAAATTTGAGGTGCAATATAGGAAATTCCATATTAAACCGTGTCAAGTAACAACAATGTATTTCTCAGATTGTATTTAAATACTACCCAAACAGTAACAATCAATTTGCATGTAATATATTATGCACTAATGTATTATGCCAATAATATATTTCATAGACAATATATTTCCAGGTATCCAAATGACCTAAGAGTTTGTTAGTATAAAGAGGTTGGCAGCCTCAGACATTCCTCCGCCTATAACTCTTGCCTACCTAATCTGTGTACGTATACTCCACCCATAGTTGAGTTCTACTATCAACTTGGGAAGATTTTTGGAAAAATTACAAATATCCCTCAAGACTAGACATTCTATGCTAGTTACCCCAACCCAAGTTTTTTTTTTCATTTTTTTTCCCCAAAATACATTTTTCTAGCATATACCCCCCAAGTAAAAAAAGTTATACTTTTTTTATAAAAATGCCCTTTTTCATACATAAAAATTTAATTTTGGCCGGACATTAATGTGGACTTACATGGGCTGCCGTTAAACTAAAAAAAAGTGCC